GTAGTAGTAGTAGTAGTAGTAGTAGTAGTAGTAGTAGTAGTAGTAGTAGTAGTAGTGGGAAGCCAACCATTCGTTACGGGCACGACGACTAAGAAAATCCGTATCCGAAGAACTGTGAAGCATCATATAATTGTTCAATTCTTTTATTATTTTACCAAACTCAAATGTCCAAGGCAGAACGTAAAAACTGCATCTCCTCCACACGCTAGGTAACTGATTGTAATACTCAAAACATATGTGGAGGTACCGGGTAGTATGAACCTAGGTCCGCCTTGCACGGAGTTAAACGCTAGACTCTTTGGATAGCAGAATACATGATCCACGAACAAGCAACTGATTGAAGGGACGACACGTAACAGTACAGTTCTGGCAATACAGTTCACCCACCGTGACAATGAGAGCATTTGAGTCTACCATGTATTTACTTGATATTGCAAGTCTTCCTAAAACCTCGGTATGATTTAGGGCTGGGTACCTTGGATTGTAATTAGCCTCTTTTCCCTTTCACCTCGAAAAATGCGCATACACGATCAAGTGTCTCACATAGCTTCTGTTGAAGAAACTACATTCACTATATTCCCATGACACAAGTGGTTTTCCACCAGAGTGAGAAGAATAGAAACCAGCATTCAATGTTATAGTCGATTCGGTGGACTATCGGCAATTCTTTTGGGGAGTTGGAAACAACTTCGGATTCCAAACCAACCAGGAAGGGACTTAAAAACTGTATGCTTACCTTTCTGGTCATACTATTAGTCACAAACTGGACTGGCACCGAGGTGCATTGTATATCCTGAACCTTTGACCCCGACCAAAAAGTGTATGATTCGATGGACGGGACACCTAATCTCACTATATTTCAGTTTTCACACACACTCTGGTTGCCTTGAGGGTCAGACTATGCTTTTAGATCATCCAAAACAGTACAAATTCTTTCACCTCAACAGCCTGACTGCAGTGGGCTCATGAAAGAATCTTTGACTGAGGTGTTTGCTACCTCTTCCCTTAGTGTGAAATTTGATGCTGTTTACAAACTTATAGCGACGCTGTTTGCCTTACTGTCATGATTAAAGGAGGGCTAATTGTGACCACTAACTGTCGGCAATCGTATAGAGCCACCTGGGTAAATGAGGTTAATAAAAATCCGTCGGTTCTTCAGGAATTTCAGCGCAACGGATTTCAAAGCATCCCTTGTGATTTGTAATCTCGCATAGAAGTATAAAATCATTTGGCTTTTCGGCTCCCCAGTCATCCAAATCCGAATGAGCCGCTCAATCTGGTCACCACTGGTCACGGTTGACTACAGTACGGTAAGTGAAAGGAGACTGAACGAATAGCATGTGATCATAGAATGGCTCCACATCAGTCAACCGGATTAAGCAGGCGATGCTATGCTACATCATTGTTGATCTATTCTATTTTGCACTTTCTTGTAAACCCGACCATTGTTTACCACGCCCCACTTATTTGAGTTGACAGGCTTTTAGACAGATTATGTCCTTTTTCTAAATTGTGCCCAATATGTCAGAGCTTAGTTGGATTTAAAATTGTCCTGTCAAACGCAATTCCATCAGACTTAATAAAAACATAATCCCTAACACAGAGGAGCAAACATTGTTCATGTACTAACAACACTCACCTTCCTACGGAGTCAAAATGTGACGCCTGTGCCAGTCTGTCATCGTTATATGTGCCACCATTGAAGCACTGTGAAGAATATTGCTCTGGCGTGCATTCATGAGTAATCAGTGCGGAATTTTGTGATGAGTCCAGCTCATCATTTACCGAACACAAAGTCGGATCTGCCCCCGATTCTGCACTTGCAAGCTGACTATTGGATTCATCCATACTGCCCAACGATCGTGAGCTCGGTACCGGTTCAGTCTGGGAAGATGTCTCATCTTCCCGGCAGGTTTCGATTTCCGATAAATCGAGGCGAAGATCTTCTGCATGGCTATGATGAATAAAGTGTCTAGCCGACTCGGTCGGTGTCCTTACCACGGGATGAAGTCCAGCTTTCACTGTGGGTCTTGGTGAGATGGGTACCTCAACAATGAGGTCGTCTGAACTGGATTGAGTTGCATCGGTATCACTCGCTACCATACCACATATGCTGGAAATAATGGAATTAGATCTATGCATCGATCTGCGATGCGGTTTGAGTCCAGCTCTGAAACATTGACTCCTACGGAGAGAAAGGGGTCCAACTGAAGATCTACGTTTAATTTGGCGCATAAAATTTCCAACTGTATGACATTTAAAATTGTTACGAGTCGGGGAAGACAGCTTCTCTTTCCTCGGCAGTGAATTGCTTTGTGCAGCAGCGGTGCTCATCCAGCCATGCACGGTGCCATGACTTAGTTCCGTGAACACGTTCACAACACTGTTGTACAGAGAATTTCTTTGTGTAACCGGGGTCGTTTGTGCGCTGTCATCGATACAGAGCGGTTTCTCGATTTTCTCTTCCAGCTCGCTAATCGGACGAGCAGCGGTCAGCAAGCTGTGCAGCGCATCTTCCGGATCCGTGTGATCCGTGCCGGCATCTTTTCTGGAACTCTCGGTTTGTGCGCCCATATGACTAACCTCCGGTGTAGGCATCTTATCCGTGGCACTTTCACAAAGTATCGGCGCAACTAATGACTCGGCGTCTGCTACTTGATTTCTTGTCTGTTCTCGTCGATTACTGACCAAATTCGCTGATCCATTCGTCACAGTCCGAAGGGGTTGGAAGGGAATGTGGTTCACACTGAACAACGGCCTTGGTCTATTTAAAAAAAACAATTGATATATATTAATATATATATTCAGATAGATAAACTTATCCATATCAGTTAAAAGTGCTCTGCGGGAAAATTGTTTATATATATGAATTTCAACATGACCCCATTGGATTAAGATGTGAATTATGCGGTAAAAGAAACGTGTGGAAATTTATGATAACCATTACTCCAAACTAGTATTGCTTGATTGATATGTGATTGCTCTACTCTTTGTTTATCACTATTCTCCAACTTTCTTAAACATTTCAGTATCCCTGTTCAATCATGAAATGGAAACTTATGGATTCAGGAGAAATGCGTTTATGTAACTAGATCCCCATTAACTATCAGGAAATAGAGTCAATCTCTTATCGGGAACAAATTATTCGATTATAGAGAATTTTTAGGGATTTTTTTGAAATTTCTGTTTCCTCATTACAAATCTTACAATTCTGTGGTATCCCCGTGGCCGATGCACATTCCTCTTCATAACTATTCATCACAAGCTCGTTTATTTCTCCTTTCATAAGACGAAAATGTAAATAACTTTTTTCAAAATTTTATCGTAACAAAACACCAAAGTAACTGCTACTTCGTTCATACAAGGTCATTTTGAATATTTTTATGTTATTCAACTGCGCTATGAAACCTGAAAGTAAAACTGGTAGGAATACACTACTTGTTAATTAGTGAGTAGTTAATATTTATAAAAGAAAACATTAGACCTATGCAGGTGATCTGGGGTAGGCATTCACCCGGACTCAAGATTTCGGGCTGTGAAAATGGTTCTTTTAAACATATTTTCAGTAAAACTGAAATAAGTTTGATGATTTTTCGTATTTCTGTTGTCGTCCAGATTCTGAAAAACGGTGATGCTGATACATGTAGGAACGGAGATAAACGAAAGATCTAAAGATTACAACAGTTTTATCCTGGGATGTATGGAAGCCCAAATGCAGTGGTACAAACAGCTAAGTTCAAAGTGGCCTTAGCCATGTAGTACTTTGAAAATAACTTGATAGTGACTCACATTTAATCAAGGTGGGACAATGTTTAAGGGCCATCTACATTATCCATCTAATGAATTCAAAATCTATTCGTAAGGACTCTCGGACTTTAATACCACAGATGAGACNACCCCCCCCCCCACACACACACCCTAAGGACCGAAAACAACACTTGTGATGACCAAAGGGTGAACGAAATCCGGTCATGAAGCTAGAACATGGATAACTTTTCGTCCCATTTTATCCTGATTTCCTACACACCCTCCATCCTAATAAACATTTTGACATGGACTTTGATTGTAGCCCGGAGATCCATCACCCCAAACAAGCCTGTTCGATACTGTTTTTCTTACACCTTGATTTTTGCTGCTCGTAATATGGGAACAGATGAAGATGAAAACATTTCTGTGTTGATTCCAGTACGTTCCGTAATCATGGGTGTATGTTGCAGGCTATTATACGAATACGAATACGCTGAATTACGATGAGCTGTTTTTACACTTGTCTGCTGAGTCGTGTGTGCTGAGCAGGCAACTCAAGGGTCTAGTGGAATGCAGACAACACACAATTAGGTCAGCGTGGCTTGTACAAGCAGAGAAGAAGAGAGAATGTTTGATTACATTTTCGAAGGTAAATACCGAATTAGTTATAATAAAACAAAATGAAAGATCAACAGGGATCACTTGAAAACTATAGAACAGAAAAGGAACAAAGAAGTATATATGAGTAACTCAGTGAGAGAACTACCAGGTCAAGTATTTATCCCGAACCATACTATAAGTCAAATTTCACGAATCTAGGTCGTCTCATCGATCGATCTTCTGGATGAGTAATCATACCTTCGGAACAACGATATGATGACTTACTAATACCAGGGAACACAACATACTTTATTATACAAGCCATTGTTTATGGGATAAACTAAAGAAGTGAACATCTACAGACATAAGGAAAAATTCTCTAAATTCTACACCATATTTTTTTCAATTTTTCTATCCTAGAAACTGTCAATTTATTGAACAGGTTTATCAAAATGAAAATGCATATCAAATGCTACTTGGACAAAATATCTTGAGGAACTTGTGATTAGATATACACTCAAAACATTTTTTCACCCCTGCGTACAGCCCTCAAGCTTACATAGAACACATGGGCATTTAATTCGAATCTGTTTTAAACAAACGTGCTGGGAACGAAATTTGAAGACACAATACCATGAGGCGTCGTTTCACTCATTACCTAAAGCTACTGCTGTAATTTCATTATACGCTCGTCATGCACCTTGAGTCCAGCATGGTCCGTCTTTCGGCGCCACTTAATATGAAACCTTAAACTTATTCCTGAGAGCCATGGAGGACTTGATTCAGTTTTAAAGGAAAATTTGTCGTGTAAAGAGCAAACGAAACGTGAACTGAAAAGCTAGGAAGCACTGTTTCGACCTGGTTGGGTCTAATTTGCCGACACAACTAGGGATGGAACATGGGAAATAACAGGTAGGGCAACGCTTCCTAGCTTTTAAGCTCACGCTTCATTTGTTCTTTACACGACGAATTTCTCTTTGATACTTAAACTTATAACTGCTTCTATTTTTGAATATCCCTGGAACCAGGCAACTGGAATCACTGAATAGTGTGTTTGATGTATATCTGGAACTGGTAGCAGATAACGTTTCGCAATATCATGTCTTTGGGTATTGGCTCTATTTAGCTGAGTGGTTTACCATTTATACCGAAATCTTGCTTTTCAGAAAGGCTGTTAAAAATGACTTATGTAATCTAGAAGAATTATATTGAATAGCGGTTACCATAAAAATAATTCCTTGACTGAAGGCAGATAAAGAATTATTGGTCACGTCGCAATCGGTTGAGAACCGAACCTTGTTTATGTGTCTTCTATTCAAGGAAGATGATGTAGGTGAGCCAATCCGTAAAATCAAAATTGAATGTTGCCAGGGTTCGGTGTCTTTTTGAACCGTTACCTGTCATTAGGTGTTAGACTAAGGACAAACAGCAANTTATCGACCTCAGTCTCGCTCATCAACTGATTTCAGTACACTTGTTGTGCAACTGACGTAGGTCAAAAGTCAAATTCGATTTTTAGAACGGATAAACAAACCAGCAATCCCGTGGCTAAGCAAAGACGAGACATTCAGTTAAAGATATTTTTGATTCCACCAAAATCTTCACAGTTAGTTCCAACTACTTTACACTCATGAAGATTTGGATCTCAGCAACAAACATAATCTCTATCACTTGCTTATTGAAAATAAAACAGTCAAAAGTTTCACGAATTCATCTAGCCTTTTTATGACATTATCACATACTTATTTGTGGATTAACTTGACTTGGGTATGTTTTATCAGCAGTGCAAATCCATCTACCCAACTCGGAGATGGAACATGGGATCCCACAAGTGGAACCCACCCAAACACCGGGAAGCTAATTGTACCGTTACTCATTTTACCTATGCACAATACAGCACAACCCAACTTTGTGAGTCTAATGTGGGAATCACACCTAGCGCACATCGGAACTACCCTTCGGGGTTATCACTCCACCGAAAACATTCCAACCTAAAACGATTTAGATGTAACGGCTGCAACAAAGATCTTTTGCGCTATATTGTGCTTACGCCGAGTGAGAAAACGGTCTGATCAGCTGGAGTGTACTTTAATTCAAACGCAGCGGGTTCACTCCTCCTCCTGATTGACAGATTTTCCTCGGTGATGAGACCCAATCAACTCGAAACAGCCACCCAGTGCTTCATAGCCTCAGATTTTACGTTGAACTGGTTCCTTATACTACGAAATTCACTGTGATCAAAATAATCTCATCCACTACTCCCTTCAGTGCATTCATCTGGTTCCTTTTATATCTCGCTCTAGCACTCAGTGTGAGGAATAGTTCAGCCACTTACTTCACTATCACCAGTCTGAATCTATTACCAAAACAACAGAGTTTAGCACTATGTTGAGTAAAATGATCTCAGCTCGTTTCATTCACGAAGCAAATTCTGTCCCCTGCCCAAACCTTGATCACGTCAACTTTGCAAGAAGAAGATTTGGTGTCTAGTGGTGAAACTCGAACTTCACGGGGGGAAGGAAGAAGATGAGACAGACCAAAATTGAGCCAACCTGATTCAAATAGTGTATCTGACTCGAAAGAAATCCGGGCTATTCCTCAGGTGTGTAAAAATGAGAAGGCTAAATAATTCGATGTCTTTCCTGGATGAGAGAGACTAACTTAAGCCAAAACGACTATATAATCTGTGGTGTGTGTGGGGTGGGTGATGCGAGGGGATGGAAGTAGAATTGGGTTAGCTTAGTCAGGAGAACATTAACCTAGATGACCAAAAATTATGTAGGTAGTATTGGTATGATAAAAAGAAACAAAAATAATTGTCTTTAGGTTGAAGGCTGTTTTTATTTACGGAAAATAATCGATTAGAAATGGTGAATCAGCAGATACAAAATCGGAATTAATGCCAACCCAAATTGAACTCAACAGCATATTTTGTGGTTTAGTCTACCAGAATTCACGGTCAGTTGAGTCTGCCGAATATTGTTCTACTGTGTCCTTCACTACTTGAAATTTTGTTTAATCCCCAAGTGTTTTACTCCATAAACTGCAAACGAAAACATTGAATTTGTAGCCCCATGGGGTCAGGGTTACAGTTCCGAACCCGAAGCTTCGAACATGGTCCAAGTCCCGACCAGCACCAGTTATTACAAATGTCACATGATCAAAGGTCATCCTCCAACTGAACCACTATCCACCACCCTCACCCAACAACAGCCCACATAGACAACCTATGTCCTGTATAGTTTCGTCCA